ACGGCTTTTATTTGGATGTAAGTTTTCCACTGATGTTATGTACTGTTCTTTAACATAATTCATGATGTAAAACAAGTACTGTTTAGAAGAGTTATTCATTCTACAGGCCAGGTCAAAGTTGCTCTGGAAAACTTTTTTCCCATTATCCTTATTTAGAACATTACATTCATATTCAAAAAAATAGAAAAACAAATCATAAATCAATCACTCCACAATTTATGATTCTTAAACCTATATTTCTGATATTTGTAAAAATGTTCTGCTTGCAGCTCATTTATTTGGAATAAATTTCAACAAATCCCATTGGAACATATTTTAAGGATTTGAAACACTAACATTTGACACACAGAATACTGAACAAATATTCACCATAGTGCAAGTGTCTCTTTTAACATTTACATGCCTTTCTGGCATCAGTAATGATTATTATTTTTATTTTATTTTTTTATGGTGAATATTTTTTAATATTAGTGTTCGTCGTTAACAGTCGAGCAATTTGTTTGAATTCCTCTTGCTTTTCTTAGTAATTTAAAGAACTGTACATTTATGCTTAGTAAATATGCCATTAACATTCCCATTGTGTGTCAAATTTTTGCCCCACATGAAATTTACTGAAAACCTTTCAGGAGCAATCATTGGACCACTCATTCTATTTTCTGATAAGCATGGATGTGCCAGAAATGTAATTATATTTTTTAGGTGAACATCCTCATTGCCACAGACTGAGGTCAAGAATAAAGGATACGCCCCCCTTCTTCGTCCAGGAACAAAACCTCTCCTTTCATCTGTGGCTGTCTGGCTCATCCGGCAGTTACACTTCTATTATTAGCTCCTGGTTTTTCTTTTTTTTTTTTTTTTTTCAAAGAAGGAAAAGATCACCCTGATGTAATGGTTAACATCAGCAAACGGCACGTCACAAGGCCCTATCTCCAAATGATTCAGCACTTTTTACTCCCAGCAAGAAAACAGCTTCAACTGCTCAGTTTTATAAGCATGATTCCTCATTCAGGTGTCGAGCAGATATAGAGATTCAGTTATTTGTATAATCTAGATATTTTCTATTTTAGTTTGTTCATGTTTTGTTAATGTTCAGCATCAGTCTAAGCTCAGTTTTCACACCGAACTGTCTTGACACTATCCTTCTGAGAGAAATCACTCCCCACGGTGGCTGCTGCTCAGCAACAGAATCTAAGGCAACGTTACCCACAAATTAACTCTTTCTTACCTGGTGGAAATTACTGTATGCGACAATGAGTCTTTATAAAGATTTACTATGAATGCTTGGAATATATTTCAAGCAAGTTTTAGTTTAAAATGATTATATTATATGGAAGGACAACTCACAGACTGGTTTACTTTTTACTTTTTTATTTTTATTTACTTTGCCAGACCAGTGCTAACATCAAAGCTGATTACAGATATTTATCTCCAAACAGAACAATAAGCATGATCCTCCCTCATTACAGTTTTTATTTTATCAAGATTGCAGCTGGTTACATAAAAAAGGGACAGTTTCTTTGTCAGAATGTTATGCATAGATATTACACATGTGGACCAATTCGTTGGTACCCCTCATTTAATGAAAGAAAAATGCAAAATGATCAAAGAAATAACTTAATTTAAAAAATGAATTATGAATAAACAATGAATGAAAATGTAAATTCAGAAATAGCTTTTTCACTCATGCTTCTACAGAATGATTTCAAAAATAAACTCAAGAAACAAGTCTGTTAAAATCAAGGACATGATAAAACATGTTGTGTCCAACAGTTAGCATCACAGGTGTTAACAATCTTGTAATCAGTTAGTGGACCTATATATAAGGGTAAAGGTAGTATTTGTGCTGTTTAGATCAGCGTTGCACCGACACCGATACCAGTATCGGGCGGGGCCCCGATACTGCACTAAAATGGTGGTATCGGTATCAGCAAGTACCAACAAATAGTGCACCGATACCATTTTGAGAGCCAAAGGTTTATTCAACTATTGTCACTCATTCCAGGTAGTCAATAAAAAGTTCTACTGGATTCACTTTCTATTAGTCTTTTTCCTGCTTCACAAAGGTAGATAGCAGCTTGATAAAGCCATGATGGCATTTACTTTACATCCAAGTATTATGAAATTCTTCATATATACACACATCAATTTCAAACAGATGGTATCGGTATAGGCTGATACTGCACATCCAGGTATCTGTATCGGGGCAAAACAATGGCATCTGTGCAACACTACTTTAGATACATGGTGTGTACCACGCTCAACATGGACCAGAGGGAACATGACAAGCAGGTTAAAGGTAAAGGCTGTAAGACCATCTCCAACAAGCCTTATGTTCCTGTAACTACAGTTGAAGATATTATTCAGAAATGTAAGATCCATAGGAATGCTGCCAACCTATATTGAGGTTGTTGCAGGAGGAAAATTAATGACAAATCAAAGAGAAGGATGTTGAGGAATAATGTTTTTAAATTTTATTTTCCATTTTAAATAACTCTTCATTACATAGAAATAGTTACTCAGTTGTGTATGTCAGCTGTGTTAGTCAGCTTGAATGACATTTCAACGCTGAAGGCGAAGATGACCTATGATAACCAAAAAGGGTTTGGCAACCTCTATGCAGCATACTGTGGTCAGAGGGAAAAGGCAGGAAACTGCATCCTTAGATAAATTGGAAAACATTTTGCAGTTCTGCTCCATTTTCGCTGAGAAAGAAGAAGATATAGACTTCCGCTGCAGTTTGTGCTTGTATCAATGATTTTGTTAACAGCTTATCCAAAGGGCAACATATAACATATGTTGAATCCAAGGTGTCCAACAGTGGATTTCGCATGGTCTTCTGCCTGTTTTAGCTGCATTCTCTGATGATTCAAATGAATGAGTTGCTTCATTATTACGGCGGATCCTGCAACAGCCTGCTAAAGACCTCTTTATTTAGTTCTGGTGGGTTTGGGCACCAGCTCTAAAGGCCTTGAATTAAACATCCCATGATTCAAATGATAGGGCTTACATCTTCTTAAAAGCAGTAAATCAAGAAAGGCACTGTTTGCTTTTAGTTTGTGTGAGGTTAATCTTTGGAATTTGCATGAATTGCAATCAAAAGAGCTTTATGTGGGGTCAACCTGCCTGAGGTGCAGGACATAAAAAAACAAACTGAAGCACTTCTTAGGTTAAAACAGATACAATGGAGATAATTTCGTAACAGGCCTTTCAATGGGACCTCGCATCGAGACCCATGCCCCACCTTTCCCTCAGCAGCATTGCAGGGGTATAAATCTTTGAATAGCTGCAATCTGCGTCATGGATGAACACGCAAATTTGTCCCTCCCAGCTTAAAGAAGACAGAGGGGCTGATCTGTGATGAGGTCTCAGTTTTTAAATGTTAAGGTGTTTAATTCAACATAGAGTATAAGAGAAGGCTTACCATTATATTGATAAAGATAAAGTAGGAATGACAGGCAAAAAAATATATATCTCCAAGATTAAAGCTTTTTTTCCCCCAACAGGGATAGGGAATTCAGTCAGTGTTAAAGGGAGGATAGATAGAATGTAGCCCTTAAACACAGAGCAAGATGTAATTAGTGCTACAAAAGAGTGGTCCAATCAAAGTAAAAACTAGTGACAAGGCTTCAGAGTAAACCCTACCAGATGCTGTCTATCAGTTTTTTTTAAAGCTTTCCACCTGTAGACATAAAAAGCTGGCAGAGACTACTTCAAAAGGGATGCGGCTGTAATGGTAGTTAAAGATTGATCAGAGAGCTTGAAACAAAAGCACGTGGAGCGTTTGTTGTTGTGAAAAATATCTGCAAAATTATTTAGGGATGTGAAAATAAGGAGGAAAATAAGAGTTTTGGCTATGGATTCAAACAGGTCCAACGTTCTCGGCTTTCACCGGCTGTACGCTCTGTCGCCTAGCAACATGACTGTTGACACATAAAGCAGAATGCAATCCAGAAAGCAGAAATAATGGATAGCGAAGTTCTCACTGCTGTTCTGGGTGCTAATCAAATTTTTGAGGCGCTTAAGCAGCAGTATCTTTGTCACGAATATCAGAAATATAGTCCAAACACTGCAGATATATTGAAATCTCTGCTTAAATGTTAGCCAAACCAAACATTAGCCACAACATATTTGAATCTATAACGATTTAAAACAACTATCTTCGTTAATTTCAGACTGAACTGTTCATAGACTTGTATTGTAATAAACTACTTTTACAATAATCATCACTGTTGTACCAAGTACCTTTTTCCTCTGAGCACGGAGCAGCCTGCTTGCTTGGACTCACAATGAAAAAAGGGATATCCAAGGCTACATAGGATACACCGGACCCGTCCTTCAAAACGGGCGAAAAGAAGGCTGCAATTTTGTTTGCCGCATAACAGGGAGTCTTCTAATCCGAACAGACCTCGGCACCACAATATGACGTAATCGGCCGACGAATCTGGCCTAAATTAGAAACATTTTTTCTTATTAAATCTTCTCTGCATTTGGATCCTCTACAAACCGCCACACAACCTGACAAAGACCTGAACATGGCCTTCATTGTTATTTCAACTTTCCCCGTTATTTATGACTTACCCTAAGATCAGAGGGAAGTTTATAAACGAATCAAACAATAATAATCCATCTTTTAATAATTAATAAATGGTCTCTTTACAATTTATCAAAAATGGCTTTGATAGTTATTGTAAAGTGTAACTCTTTTTAATAACAAATACCATCCCATGTATAGTAGTGAGAAACAATCAAATCACATGCAGCCTTGGTAATGTCAAGTCTTTATTGATATGGTGTCATACAGCAATACATAAGTAGCAGTCACAGTAAAGAGAACAGCATGTGAACTACAGTCAGTCCCTATGCTTTAGATACAATTGTAACTCTAAACACTATTGAAGATACAATGAAAGATGAAAGAACCCCACTGGATTGAATCTTACATATCAAACACATAACCAGAAGCTGCTGGTGTTTTAAGGCATTTTACATCCTACAGTATATGTTTTTATGGTATGATTTCATATCGACTGTTGATTATGAATTGGTGACATATTGTACTTTGCTTATTCCTTTTGAGAATAAATGTGCATTTAAAAAAGTTTGGCAGTGCCGCAGTGACCTCTTGTTTTTGTTTTGTTTGTTTTTTTGGTTTACAGTGTAAGGCTTTTGCCACCATGAGCCATTCATACATTGTAATTGCACGCTTCACATAAGAGCTGACAGCATTCAATAAAATACGATGCCTATTGTCCCACTTGTTAGACCATTGTGCAAAAGCACATGTATACAGTACTAGGATACTTGTCACAAGCTTCAGGTAAACAATCAGATCCAGAGCAGCTAGCTAATACAATCAGCAAGTTCTTTGCTTCTACTTGTAAAGTGAGTATAGTTTGTCAAGGCATTGATCACCATGACATGGAGAGCGTGGCAGTGCACAAGCAAGAGTTAACAAAAATAAATAAGCTATAAGCTTCACACTTATTCTAGTAGTGTAATCATACTACAGACATTTTATCCAATCATGGCCACAGTTATGAAGAGGCAAGGTCGTGTTGTTCAGTGATCCTGCAGGTTTTCATTTAACTCTAAGAGGTTTTGTGTCATTGGCACATGCATCTTCAGACTGGAGTCATGTGACTGTGGGGTTTAAATGTGCTTTATGGTGTTTTTTTTTTTTTTCTTTTTTTTCCTTTTTAGTGTGTATAGAATAAATCACACCCAGAGACATAAAATCAAACTGAATTTCATGCATTTGTGTTAAAGAATAATGTGTGGTGATCCCACATATATTCAACCAGACCCGAAACTTTTTAAGTACAATATGGCATCATCTTCAGTAGTGTTAATAGTGTTTAAAAAAGCATTATTCCTTTTATCCTTAATTAAACATTGTGCAAACAGTAAGTCATTCCAAGCTTATGTAATTAATTTCCATTTTAGTGCTTTAAAGATTGCTTTCTTCCAGTTATTCACATTATTGGTGGCCTAAAGCTGCATCTTAAGTATGATAAAAGTGGAGTTCAGCTTCCATGTTAAAAACAACAAACAACCATCCGTCTAAGGAGCAGAGAGTTGACAAAAACCAGCCAGGCATGGCACATGCAAACAAAAGTTAATTAAAACAGTTCAGAAATTGATTGATTCAAGTTTTACTCTCATTAAAATAACAAAGTTATGAGACAGTAAGATTTTCGATAAATTGTGAATAGAGTTCAACCAAGAACAGAATTCCTCAATATAATCACCTTTTATCATAGGAAAAACTGTAAGAGTTAACCTGATAACTATAGCTTAATTTCTTCTTAGACTGTGTATTTATGATATAGTCTATTTCTTCCTGAAACTGTCTCTGATAAAAGTGTGGCAGTTGATGTGTTTCTGACTTATTTTTGTGTGGTATCGTGCACCCTAACAGTCACACATTTGTTCCCCTTAAGACGTGTTGCGATTACATTGCAGCTTGTGGTATGAAGACAAACCAGAGTTATTGTTTACTGTGCCAGTCCTATATGATGACAGAACATTAGTGACGAAGACCAGTTGAATATTATTACCTTTAAAGAGTGTGACTTTGAGGAAAATGCTACCAAAGTGTCTGTTGTTATTCAACAATAACTTTGTGAATTAAATGTTCTGTTTTTGATGCAATAAAATGATTGCTTATGAAGATGGTAAATCAAAAGGGCTGCTTGTTTGCAAAAAAAAAAACAAAACGAAAAGATTCAGTGGTTTTAGGACAGCCTACGGGTAAGTTTTTAGTTTTTCTGATTAGTGGGTACGTCTTCTTGCTGCTTCTCCATCTTCTTGGTTGTCACGACAGTCTCCTCATAAACCTCACGCTGGGACACCTTCCCAGTGGGTTTGCTCTGAAGCTGCTCCTCCTCCTTGCCCTCCTTCTTGGAGGTCTTTCCAGAACTGCTGTAGATTCGGGTCTGGTAGCTGTAGCCCTGCCCGACACCCCCACTTATGGAGGGGCTAGGATAGGTGATGCCTGTTCCAATGCGGGTCTCCTCCCCTTCCAGGAGTTTCCTGCAGAGAGGCACAGACATGAATTAGACGATTTAGGGAGAACAGAGAAGGAGGTGAGGTATATGCCATAAATGCATTTAAAATGTATTTTCTGTGAGATGCTGGGGTGACTACTCATGCTGCAACGTTGACCTCACCTGTATGCTGCGATTTCTATATCCAGGGCCATCTTGACATTGAGAAGATCCTGATATTCTCTTAGATGTCGAGCCATCTCACTCTTGGTGGTCCTCAGTTCATTTTCCAGCTCAGCCATGCTTTCCTAAGCAGGGTTGGTAAATCAAGACTTTGGGTTAAATATGATTTACAACCACAATGTTAAGATTCTAAACCAGCTATAAATTTTCCTTTGTATGCCGTTGCTTTTTTAGGATGGTGTGATATTGTCGATCTCAAGAAAAAAATTCCAAGTTAATTAACTAAATAGCAAATAAATAAATGATAACCCTGTTTTTTGAAACATTTTGTTTCATTTTGAAGCATTTGACTTATTGATTTATTCCTTCAATTTATTTTTCTTTTATCTGACTACCAAAGATGTGATCTGAAAGCGCTATTTGTGGAAGGACTCATTTAGAGTAAGTTGTTTGCTATCGGAGGGCGTTGTCAGACGCTGCAGAGAGCGGTTCTCTCTGGGGAGTGTTTCAGCACCAAGGACAGAGCCGTAAGAACTGCCGCTGCCTCTCTATGCGGGTTTATTTATAAACTTCTCCACAGGGAAAATCATAAAAACAAAATAAAGCTGAAACAACTTGCAACGAATTAAGAGTAATATATTAATATATTTAAGTAATTGTAATTACTGTAACTTCCATACAGGCTGTAATTTATCATATTTTCAGTGACTCAGATTGTATTAGTTCATCGACTTTTATCCCAGCACTGATTATTAGTTACATTAAAATAGAGTCGAGTGAATAATTACAAAAACAACTCTATTAATAAACGTAACTGGCATACCTGGTAGGAGTTAATCTCCATGTTGTGTCTGTCCTCCATCTCGTGTAGCTGCTTCTCCAGAGACTCGGTGGTCCCCCGCAGGCTCTCTATCTCGATGATCTTGGACTGAAGCTGCCTCCTGAACTCGTTCGCCTCCTCTCTGCTGGCTCGGATGGCCTCGTTGCTCCTGTTGGCCTGCTCCGTCAGGTCCACAAACTTGGTCTTGTACCACTCTTCGGCAGACTGCAGGTTCTTGGACGCCATGGACTCATACTGGCCGCGGATCTCCTTCAGGGCGGAGGTGAGATCCGGTTTGGCCACCTCCATCTCCACTGATACCTGCGCGGCATGGATCATGTCCGTCAGCTCGACCACCTCCTCTTCGTGCACCTTTCTCAGGAAGTTAATCTCGTCCAGGAGGGACTCGACTTTCTTCTCCAGGTCCAGGCGCACCATGGTGGCATCGTCAACGTCCTTCTTGAAAGCCTTGAGGGTGGCCTCCGCCTCCTCTCTGGCGCGGAACTCCTCCTCGTACTTCCCGCGGAGTTTCTGCAGTTCGTCGTCGATGTTGTCCCTCTCTATCACCAGCTGGGACTTCTCTCCGTTCAGCTCGTCCAACTGGGAGCGCAGCTCTCGGATCTCCTGCTGGTAGAGCTCCGCCAGACGGGACGGCTCTGCCTGCCGCTGACGCAGCGCCACCAGCTCCGTCTCCAGCACTTTGTTGTGCTGCTCCAAGTTGCGAACCTTCTCGATAAACATGGCAAAGCGGTCATTGAGACCCTGCATTTGCTCCTTCTCGTTCGTGCGGATGATTTTGAACTCATTGTTGAGGACGCTGCTCTGGGTCAGGTCGAATGTCTCCAGCGGGGTGGAGAAGGAGCGGCCGGACTTTCTGCTGTAGGAGCCCACAGAGGGGATGCTGGTTCGGGACAAGGAGGAGGAACGGTATCCCCCTCGGGAGGACACGCTTACTGAGGAGCGCGATGGAGAGGAGAAACGGGGAGAATCCCCGAAAATCCTCCTGTAGGAGGAGGAGGAGAACATATCAGATCCGTAACTCATCTTTGCCTGCGTGGATTCAGAGCGCAGCAGTGGGCGCGCCTCCTTTATAAAGCAGGGGGGCTGACCCACTCACTAATTAATGCCAGCTGGAAACATCCGGTCTGGGTTCGGTCCAATACGTCATACTTGGAAAAAACTGCGAGGTGACGTAGCCTATCGGCAAAAAAGACTGTACATGGGGAGTGCTGAGAATAAGCTTTATATATAAATAAACTGAATTTAATGCAATGCTTCTACTTTATTCTTTTATCCACATCACTTCCATGGCTTTTCTCCCTTCTAAAGGGTTAGGCTGATGCTGCTTACTGCAAGACATGATTTCACCTGTTGGACAGAAAGTGGGTTAAAATAACAACTTACATATACCCTGTTTCAAAGAATTTAGAGAATAAAAGAAACACAATTTTTATAAGAGATCCAGCAACTCATAATGAGAGTCATAATACATAGATAAAAAAATGAAAATCATAGAAAAGTTGTTAGTCTTCTCAGCAACAGCTTTCCTGTTAAATCTACACACACATACACACATAAATAAAAAAATAAAATAAAATAAACGTCCAGGAGTTTCTGAAGGAACTCAGGACATCAGGTAGCATTGCAAGCGTCACCAACCTCACACAGCTCCTCCAGAACGAAAAAGAAATAAGGAATTCTCTGTTGTGCTATTTTTTTTTAAATGAAATACACACATTCATTTATTTATTTATTTTTCACTCCAAGCAGCAAACTATGAGCTAAAGGTACTATCAAGTGTTAAAGAGGGGCTTGAAATGTTTACCATCCTGGAATACTAAAAAACTAATATTTGGATTAAATGTAATCATTTTTACCATTATTTTAGCTTTCCACTAAAAGCAATTTATTTTTTAAAATATAAGTTATAGTATTTCATTTTTTTGTATCTTAAAAAGATTGATACTCAAAATATATTTCATTTCATAATTTTTAATTAGAGTATCTGTTAACATTCTAAAACATATTGTATCAGCAACATAATAATCAATATAACTACAAGAATGCTCAATGTTTTCACTTGGTCATTGGTTTCTTTTCCTTTCCCATCATCTTGGTTCCCATCCCTATTGTATTTCCCAGTTAGTCTCCATTGCCCCCTAGAGTCACCTTCCCCTCCCTTAGTTTTCTTCTTGTTCTCTTTCTGCACCTGTTCCCACTTAGATCTTAACTCCAATACTTGACCAGTTAGTTTATATGTACCGCTCCAGTTGGTCTTTGCTGGATCATCGTCTTTACTTCATGTCTTTATAAATCCCTGTTTCTTTGGTAATGTGTCAATTAACTTTTGGATTACTGTAAGCCTTCTGCAGCCATTGTCACGAAAATATACAAGAAAACTACTCAGCCTCTGCTTCTGCATTTTGGATCTTACTGCAAACATTCTACAACTCTGACATAAACATGACAAACACCTGTGGCCAGTGATAGATATATTGAGGACATAATGTCCATTTCCAGTGTGACCTAAAGTCATTAACACAACCATCTTGTCATGATGTTACAAAGTTCTGACCCAAAAATGCAGATAACCGAACAGAGAGACCAGGAAAAAGGTTTAACAGGTTTTATTATAGAAGTAAAACAGGGGGAGAATTGTTGCTCTGAACACTGCTCAACAAGAACTGTAAAGTGAGGGGAAGACACAGTGGTAAGTTCAGGCTCAGTGGGGAATTTTACTCATGAAACTTGGAGAAGAGGTTTTGGTTGCCAACTCACGTTTCCAGTGAAGTTGTTGTATCCTTGACTCCTGTCTGTGTGCCGTGGTTCCAGTGTTTGTCTGATTCGGTGGAGGGCGGAACAGGGTTTACCCAGAATGCAGTTGATAGTTGGAGAACAGAGAAACTGACTGCCACTCAGATTTCCTGCAGTACTTGAACGGGTCATAGTGGAGAATAATCCCTTTCTCAGTGGAAAGCTCAAACGATCTCTTGGGTAAAGTGGATCCAAACCTCCTGTTTGAACCCCAGCTCAGTTTGAAGCTTAGTTTATCCTTCCAGGGTGTGAAGGTCCGAGAGATCCAGTTAGCAGGACAACTTCCTGCCAAGAGGAAAAGACAAAACAAAGTTAAACTCAGGTTGACAAAAACTCAGCTTGACTCAGCAAACTCAGCTTGGCTAGAGTACCCTAAACTGGCAAACACTCTGGCGTCAAAGTAGTGGCAGTCAGCAACTTAAGAACACTCCGTTTAACGAGGAAACCATCAGCAGGTGTGTGAGGAGGCGGATCAGAACCAGGCGCCTCCTGGTGGATGAAGGGAGACAAACACAGACACAAAAACAGGAGTCCTGACACATCTTACATTGACACTGGACTTCTGGCATTTTGGCATGTCCTTCTCCCCAGTCTTCCTCCAGACTCTGGCACCTTGATTTCCAAATGACATGCAAAACTGAGCAACAGTCCAGTGCTGCTTCTCTGTAGGTCAGGTCATGCACCTCTGCCGCTGTTTCTGGTTCAAAAGTGGCTTGACCTGGGGAATGCAGGACCTGTAGCCCATTTCCTGCACACACCTGTGCACAGTGGCTCTGGATGTTTCTACTCCAGACTCAGTCCACTGCTTCCGCCTGTCCCCAAGGTCTTGAATCGGCCCTTCTCCACAATCTTCCTCAGGGTCCAGTCACCTCTTCTCGTTGTGCAGCATTTTCTGCCACATTTTTTCCTTCCCACAAACTTCCCACTGAGGTGTCTTGATGCAGCTTTCTGGGAACAGCCTATTCGTTCAGAAATATTTTTCTGTGTCATACCCTCTTGCTTGAGGGTGTCAATGATGGCCTTCCGGACAGCAGTCAGGTCGGCAGTCTTACTCATGATTGGGGTTTTGAGTGATGAACCAGGCTGGGAGTTTTAAAGGCCTCAGGAATCTTTTGAAGGTGTTTAGAGTTAATTTGTTGATTAAGATGATTAGGTGCATTTAAAGACCTTTTTCATGATATGCTAATTTTGGGTTTTCATGAGCTGTATGCCAAAATCATCTGTATTAAGACAATAAAAGACCTGAAATATTTCAGGTCTTTTATTGTTTTTTTTTATTGTTTTATTGTTTATTATTTAGTATGCAATGAATCTAAAATATATGAATGCTCAAGATTTATCATTACATTATGGGAAATAATGAACTTTATCACAATATGCTAATATTTTGAGAAAGACCTGTATTCTATCCTGTAGAGGAGGGTTCATTAATGTATGATCACACTGCTGCTGAGTTCAAAATGATGGTGCCTATATGTGGGTAAAGACGATCCTTGGATTTTCCTCTAGTCAAGAAACATGTTATGTTTTGTATAATTTTTCGATTAACTCTACAAAACAACCAGCATGAACCCAGTATTTAGTTTAAATCAATGGATTAGTGGTTTCCATTTAATTACATTTTGCTTGGTTTGTTTATTCAAGTTCATTACAGATGTCAGTTAAAGACACGTAGAACCAGGCTCAGAGTACAGTAAGTCGCCCACTGCCGACACTGACTGGGTGTTTTCAGAAATGCACCATGTTTCTCACAATATTTTTTGTTAATAACCGTAGAATTTTAAACTTTATTGCATTTGACTCTTGCATAGAAAAAAAATCTGCAATTACTTACAGCAATTGCATCAAGGTTGCTAAATAGCTGAATATCTTAAAAGTTATGTCCTATATGGTTTTACAGTGAAACAGATCCAATAAACGATATTTTGCTGCCCTCTGGTGTTTAAAAGCGGTACAACGGATCTGGTTGTTTGAACTGACTAACCCAAATATTTGGCTCTTTTTTTTAATAAAAAGTATGGAACAGTGACAAAGACTTCTTAATTAAAACAGAATCAAAATATATTTATTCTAGTAAATAGCAATATATGCACATATATTTCTTTTATCATGCTTTTATAGAATTTTGCTATTTCTATGCTTGGACTGCTTGTTAGTGTTGAAGTCCTGATGGATGAGCGCGCCATGTCACTTTAAAATAGATTCAATAGATAATTTTCTACTGAATGTAACAAACATTCATATTGCAGACGCTATAAAATGCGGGAATCTGCAAGTGCGATTACTAAAGCTGAAATAAACAATGCAGTCGTGCCAGTTACTAATTTCAGATGTAGGAATTTTACACCTGAAACAAGCCAAAACTTTCTAAAATTAAGAAACTGTATAAAAAAACATGCCATGTGATCTGAAGCAAGAATCTGTAAATGTTGGAAATGGAGTGCACAACTTCATTCATTTTCATATCTGTTATTTAATATAATGTGATGAATTTAAGAATGTCTTGCACTTAAAAAATACTTTTTAAAACAAACTTTTAATGTATGTCATCATACTGTATCTGGTGAATCTCTTTAATTAAATAATGTAATGTTAGGTTTGCAAGTTTACATTTTAGATTTCAATTTAAACAGTAAACTCATATAGACATTATAGGTCATTTATTTCTGTTATGAGAAAAATCATAAAAAAAAAATAAACCTAAAGCTACAATTCATTGTAAGCTAGGAAGGCATACAGCGCATAAAAATTCCCAAAATCCTGGAATGTTTGCCAATTCTTTCTGACATAAAGCTGCCACTTAATAAGGTTACTTACACACACATTTTAGACTGCCTCGACATTTTGGGATAAAACTGCAAAACATTTAATTTATTGTCACTAAGCCTCTTTAATTAGTGTAGTACTCGGACTAGTTATATATAAAGCAGGAATAGAAAACATGATACTTTCGTTAATCACTTTAGAATAGGACACACAGAATAAAACAATATACTTCATTATACAGATAAACATTATGTTCTTAGCAGAAATTAGCAGTTAAGGTAAAATAATAATTATTCGAATGCAAGAGACTAACTGAAATAATGATAACAAATTGTGGAATAAGAGCTTAACATATACTTTATTTAATCGTTTGAAAAGGTTTTGGAAATTATATTCATCAAAAGTTATTCAAAGTTTTCAAAATATTGTTTTTTTTCTTCTCACTATCTATCCAGTAGGTGGCGGTATTGCACCTATAGTAGCTGTAGCTGTGGATAGTCA